CGGGGCCGTGGCGGTCGCAGCAGTCCTGAAGCCGCATCCGTGATTTCCCCACCGGCGCTGCCTGGGTGATGTTCACAGCGAGCTCTGATGTGTCAGAGGAGTTTCACCTCTGTGAGATTTATCACTTTTTCCCCTGCTCATTTGGTGCTTCTCTTTTTTCAGTCTGCGACCATCCCGCTGTTCATGAGTAACAAGGATGTGGCTGCGGAAGCCGTGAGTGCTTTCCCTTCGTGCAGCTCCTTTTTTCCAGCCCTGTCTCTGGAGCTGAGGGAGGGCTCACGCTGTTCCCGCTCTCACAGGTCACAGGCAGTGGGAAAACCTTGGCGTTTGTGATTCCCATCCTGGAAATCCTTCTCAGACGGGAAGAAAAGTTAAAGAAAATGCAGGTGAGATTAAAATATTCAGTACTGAGTTCATTTTTATGATGTGCCAATAAGATTTGAGAACTTCCAAGAAAAGTATCCATAAGGGAAATTGGCTACACACAGAGTGACTGTGCTCAGTAACAATAAACTGTTTAAAACCTGGAAATAAAATTGAGGTGCTCTCATTGCACTTAGGTGCAGCTTCTCCTCTGGCAGGAACAGAACAGGGCTCTGAGGTGTGAGAAAAATGTCCCAAAGTATGGAATACTCTGATGCACTGCAAGTGAGATTTGAATGCTTTTTGGCACCCATTGACCTTGAATTCATTTTAGTGTGCAGGGACCTTCAGTGTCATTTGCTGTTAAATGTCATTGTTGGATGCTGCTCTTTGAGCAGAGACATTTTATACACTGATACAAAGTCTTTCAGAGACATTTTTGGATGTTTTTTATGCTTTATTGTATTTCTGTGGAAACGTTTTGTCTGAAACCAGGCTCACAATCATGGCTCATATTCCCTTAGCTTGAAAGGGAGGATTCTGCCCAAATCTATCTTTATTTTCTCTCCACAAATTCCTGTTTTTCAGGTTGGTGCTATAATCATCACCCCAACCAGGGAGCTGGCCATTCAGATTGATGAGGTGCTGTCACATTTCACCAAGCACTTCCCCATGTTCAGGTGGGTGAACTTCAGCCCTTCCATGGCCACACTTCCTTCTGTCACCCAGCAAAACTTCCAGGTGACCCAAATCTTTCTGTTTCCCTGTTTCAGTCAGATTCTTCTCATTGGAGGGAGGAACCCCATGGAAGATGTGGAGAAGTTCAAGGAGCAGGGGTGAGTTGTGTGTTTGTTTGTTTGTTCAGTGTCTCAGAGCTGTGGTTTTCTCCTTGTCAGGGCTCTCAGCCCAGAGCTGTGCTCCTGCTGCTGCTGCAGTGGGATGTGCTGCCAGAATCTCTTGGGGTGAGCTGGGGGATTGTGGGGTCTGTTCCTGGAGTGAGGTGCAGCCCTTATGTGACATCAGCTCCATTTCTCTGCTGACTGGGTGAAGAACAGCTGAAAATGCCTTCAGTGAATATTTCACTTCTCCCTGCTCATTAAATTCCTGGAATTGTTTGGTGCTGATGCTGATGATGGAATTTTGGAGGAGCCCTATTTGCCCCTGGCTTTTGCATGGAGGCACCAAATATTCCTGCAGTGATAGCTGCTCTCCAAACTTTCTGATTATTTTCTAAACCTTTATTTTCTAAACTTTTCTTTCACCTGGGCATCCCCCCCCGCTCCATGCCACTGAAACATGGTGCAGTTAAAGGTGACAAAATGAATTGTTTTACTGAAGAGTACAGGGCAGGGCTGTGCTGTGGGAGCAGTGTCAGGAGTTCTCCAGATTGCTGCCCCTGGGTGAGGGAATTTTTCTGGGTGTGCCCCCACAGGGGGAACATCATCGTGGCTACCCCAGGCCGCCTGGAGGATCTGTTCAGGAGGAAGGCAGAGGGGCTGGACCTGGCCAGCTGTGTCAAGGCTCTGGATGTGCTGGTGTTGGATGAAGCTGACAGACTCCTGGATATGGGCTTTGAAGCCAGGTATTGAAATAATAAATTTTGGTGGTTCTTCTGCAGTTTTAAATGAGTTGATGTGTGGTGGATGTGAATGAGTGTGGCCTGAGTGGCCTCCAAAGTTAATTTGTTCTGTTTTTTGAAATTTCTGAATTTGTTCTTTCATCTTTGTTCTGTAACTACACAAAGCAGTTGCTAAGGAGGAGGAGAATCAGAAATATGGATATGGAATTTCCTTTGTTGAGATGTATGTTAGCATATCTCTATTAATAAATATCATTATTCACACTTCAGAATGGTTAAAACACTTTAACCAATAAACTTTGATCTCTCTTTTCTCTGTATTTCTGAGAGAAATTGAGGTGATAGCTTACCTCTCTCTCTCTCAGAGCTAAGGTAATTATTTCAGTAGCAGTTTGATGTGATAACAAAGCCTATTTCCAGTGATGGAAGCTCCTCCTGAGGGAGGCCTTGGGCCAGTTCCATTTTCCCTGTGCTCCCTTGCAGCCTGAACGCCATCCTGGACTTCCTGCCCAAGCAGAGGAGGACAGGGCTGTTCTCAGCCACGCAGACCCAGGAGCTGGAGAGCCTGGTGCGGGCCGGGCTGCGCAACCCCGTGCGCATCTCGGTCAAGGAGAAGGGGGTGGCAGCCAGCAACACCCAGAAAACCCCAACCCGCCTGGAGAACTTCTACATGGTGCGAGCCCGGGCTCCCACTGAGCTCCCTGTCCCCTCTCCTTTCTTCCAATAAGATTTTAAGTCTTGGCCACTTAGCATCACCTTAACAGGAGAGCCCAAGTCCATTTTTTATGTTTTTCTTTTGCATTTTTTAGATCTGCAAGGCAGATGAGAAGTTTAACCAGTTGGTGCATTTTCTTCGGCAGCACAAACAGGAAAAGCATCTGGTCTTTTTCAGGTAATTCTGTTTGTGTTTCATTGTGAGAACAGTTTGGTTTTTAATTACCCAAATTCCAAACCTCTGCCCTTTGTTGCAAAGGACACAACCATTTTCAAAGTGATTCATTTTGAGAGCTGTTTTTTAGAATATGGTGCCTAAAAAGAGATCAATCATTGCTTTTTGTCAGGATTGTGTTATTAACATAAATTTTATGCATTTTTAAAGTAAGACATTATAGATGGTTATATGTTAACTATAAAAATGATGTGCATTTTTAAATTAAGACATTATACATGGTTATATGTTAATTATAAAAATTATGTGCATTTTTAAATTAAGACATTATAGATGGTTATATGTTAATTATAAAAATTATGTGCACGTTTAAAATAAAAAAGTGTAAATTTTTGAAAGAGCTTGGGAAACTCTAGCTTGATTAAACCTGATTAAAAACGCAGCATAACCTTTTGCTTTATGCCTGTCCTTATCACTACAGCACATGTGCCTGTGTGGAATACTATGGGAAGGCTCTGGAATCCTTAATTAAGCAGGTGAAAATAATGAGCATCCACGGGAAGATGAAGCACAAGAGAAACAAGATTTTCACGGAGTTTCGGAAGCTCCCGGGGTGAGAACGGGGCAGTGGCTGAACAGTCAGGGGGAGGTGGTTGTGTCTGACTCTGCTGCTGCTGCCTGAGTGGAAGGATGGCTCAGGGGAAGGATGCTCCAGGCTGGCTCTGAGTGTGTTGATGATATCACAAATTGTGATGTTGATGATATCACAAAGTGTGGCCACAAACAAAGGGAGAATGGCACTGGAGCATCTGCACCCTACTGTAGATAATCCATGTGGCAGCACAGGAGGTGAGCACACTGCACTGGCACTTGCTGCAGTCACACCTTAGCCCTGATGTTTAAACAAACTGGTAGCAAAAATCAGCTTTTCCTGATCATTAACCAGAGTGGAAACCAGGATGTTCCTTTGTTGGTGTATGAGCAAGAACATGGCAAGGTTTCTGTAATCTGCCCACAGGGAAATGTTCTTTGGCAGCTTTGCAGGATGCTGTTAAGAAACTCTTGCCTCATCAACTGTCATTTTTGTTATTGCATGGGACCCGAGTTTTAGCTTTTTATGCTGTGAGAAAAATAATTACCAGCAGATTGTAAGAACAGCTGTTGAAAAGAACAGCATGGCAGTTCTGCTAAAATTGTCACTCAAGTCTTGGGTCTTTTATTTTAACATTTATTATAGTACATTCAGCTGTGGTGGATGCAGTGCTGGTTTAAAATTTGAATTTTTAATGGGGAATTGATTTGTCTTAGAAATGTAATATAAATCACAATAATTTTCAAAATGTTATGTAGAATTTTAGGTGGTGAAAGCTGCAATTACCTTATATTTTGTCTCTTTAAAAACCCCAGATGTTTTAAAATGTTGTGTTCCTCACTCTCAGTGAAGGTGCAGAACCCACAGCTGTGAGGAGGCCTGCTCTTCTCAAAGGACAGGTTAAAGAAAATCCACTTTTCCTTCTTCCCAGGGGCATTTTGGTGTGCACAGATGTGATGGCCCGTGGCATTGACATTCCAGAGGTGCACTGGGTGTTGCAGTATGACCCACCCAGCAGTGCCAGGTACAACTTCACATCCTGAGATCCTTTTCCTTTCTGTGTGGTCTTTCCTTTCTGTGCTTTTCAGGTCTCAGTTAGGAACAAAACACTGCATAAAACACATCTAATCACTTCCTGGGGGTTAATCTTGGGGAACACAGAAAATAATGCAGGAGCAAGGGAGGCTGGAGCAGTGCAGGGTTTGTTGTCACTGCTGACTGGCAGTGACTCTGTGGGTGTAGGTGTCAGTCAGGGCTGATTGTCACAGCTCTGTGCAGAGGTGGGGTTGGGCTTTGTGTGAGAATATCAGAGAGAGTGAGAGGTGACACTGGGGGGAAGGAGAACAGAGATGAGAGCAGGGACTCAGCTCTTCAAGGAATGGTACATTGAAAGCTCACAGGAAAGGAGCTTTTCTGTGGATTTTAACTTTTGCTGTCATAATTCTTCCTCCACCTTGCTTGAACTTCACTCCCAAAGCAGACACTCCTTGCTTTAGCCTAACAGTTGAGTGGGATGGTCACACACCTCTTGTGTTACACTTTGCTCATTCCTGTTGGTTTGGTTAGTGTTTTCCATGCCACAAGATTTGCCCTTTTGCTGCCCAGTGCTTCCAAAGGCACTGAGTGTGTGCTGGGCTCTTGCAGTGCCTTCGTGCATCGCTGCGGCCGCACGGCGCGCATCGGCAACGTGGGCAGCGCTCTGGTGTTCCTGCTTCCCATGGAGGAGTCCTACATCAACTTCCTCTCAATCAACCAAAAGGTGAGCAGGCTTTTGTTCTACCCCAAAGCAGGAAAGAGCAAAGGCACAGACTTACTGATAGGAGCTTTGAAATCTGAATTTGTAGAACTTGGGGTCATACACGTGGGTAATGTTTTAGCTGAGGTGCAGAATTAAAAGACAAGAGCTGCTTATTAATCACTAAATACAGCAGGAATGTGATTGCTCCAGTGTTAGGCACTGGGTTTGTAAGAGGAACATGCAAAGAGTAAGGAAAGGCCTTTTGTTCCTGGGGTGTGAATGGAGCATTTGCAGGAGGGCAGTGCTGGCTTAGGGTCCTGCCCCAGCAGCTCACACCCTGCAGCCTCTCTGCTCCTCACTCACAGCTCCTGCAGCCTCCATGCCTGCTCCTGTCTGTGTGGGATCCATTGTGTGAGTTCTCTGGACACCTCCTAGTGAGAGCAGAGGTTGGTGAAGCAGGAGATGAAGATGTTGCCTCTGTGGAGCTGCAGTATGAGAACTGGAGCTGCTGTGTGGGGCTGATGGTCAGCTCAAGTGTTGGAGTGCCCAAAGGGAAAGGGGCTCAAACCTGACTGGGGATTAACTGGGCAAGAAGGGTGAGTTTGAGGTTTCACAGTGCATTCCACATCATTTGGGTGAATTTTGGTTTTGTTTATTTTCTGGTTGCCAGTGTCCCATGCAGGAAATGAAACCCCAGACAAATGTGCTGGATCTTCTCCCCAAGCTGAAGTCCATGGCCCTGGCTGACAGGGCAGTGTTTGAGAAAGGGATGAAAGCCTTTGTGTCCTATGTGCAGGCTTATGCCAAACACGAGTGTAACCTCATCTTCCGCATCAAAGGTAATTCCCACCGGGGCTGGGGCCTCTCACTGCTTTTCTCAGACAACTTTTGGTGTTGCCCAAAAGCTTCAGCTTCTGATTTTTGATCTCACATTCCCTTCCACCACCATCAGATTTTGACAAAACTCCTATTTTTTTTTCAAGCATCTTGTTTCAAGAGAAAACATTTAAATATGGAGCTTGACCAAACTGATAAAAGCAGAAGTAAAAATGACTTAGTACTGTTGCCAGTATTAAGGTATAGAGTGCAAACAATACTTTAAAATCATGTAGACTTTTTTTTTCCCTTTCAGTTAAATTAACTTTTTATCCAGCAGGAAACTGACTTGATAATCTTTATTTCAACAGATCTGGATTTTGCCAGTCTTGCCAGAGGTTTTGCATTATTAAAAATGCCAAAGATGCCTGAACTAAGAGGAAAATGTTTTCCAGACTTTACTCCAGTCACTGTCAATACAGACTCCATTTCGTTTAAGGATAAAAACAGAGAAAAGCAGAGACAAAAGAAATTAGAAGAACTAAAAAAAGAAAGAGAGGAAAATCAAGGGAAAAAGAAATTTGTAAAGAACAAAGCATGGTCAAAGCAGAAAGCCAAGAGGGAGAAGAAGAAGAAAGTGACAGCTAAAAGGAGGCGTGAGGAGGTAACTGTGCCCATCCCTTAACTGATTTCTGTAGTTCTGCCCATGGCAGAGCCCTGGGATTTCAGTGTGGGGGAACTGATGGCTGTAAAATAACATTTTAGGACTTGGACAAGCAAAGCTTCAAAAAATGATAGAGGTTTTTGAAGGCAAACACTAAAACAACTTCTCAGCACTGATGGTGGTCAGTAATAGGATTTTTATTTCTCAGAAGTGCAGAAATATGGCCTGAGGGTGCTTTTGTCAATTGAATTTATTATTTTCTGCTTGGATATTTCTGGCAAACTCTGACTTGTAATCCTCTCTTGTGTTCAGCTGTGTACAATGAAAACCTTTTGGTGTTGTGTTTAATTTGCTGTTCTCAACTTCCAACAGGGCTCTGATATTGAAGATGAGGATATGGAGGAGCTGCTGAATGACACAAGACTCTTGAAAAGATTAAAAAGGGGAAAAATTAGTGAAGAAGAGTTTGAGAAGAAACTAACAGGCAACCACAGGCTCAAAGCAGAAACTGTTGAGGACATAGATTCTGAAGGCTGACAGTCACTCTAACCACATTTTTACATTAAAACACTGCTTATTTCAATAAAACCGGATTTCTATAAAAAATAGAGAACAAAATACCTCTATAAAAAGAGAACAAAGCTGATCTAATTTCTTCACAGAGACCTGGCATCCCTAAGGACACAGAGCCTGCAGTTGTTGAGAACAAAGTTAAAAGCACCACTCTGCTGTGGCAGGAGCTGCAGGGTTCCATCAGCAGCCTTGTGATGTTTTCATTTTGGTGTTTTCAAGTACAAACCACAGATCAGTACCAGCAAACCTCAGAGTGAGTCTGGATACACCATAAGGGATTTTATTTAAAGTATCAAAATAATCCATCCCTCTTTAAAATAATTTAGTTGTGGCCTTTAGGAGCTGTAATAACTTTGGGAACTTTTTCAACAGTGGTCCATAATTATGTTAATCCTTCTAATGGCATTTCCTTGCCATGTTCATGTATCCTCCAAGTTCTCAGAAGCCTGGCAGTCCCTGGAGGTGACACATCTGTGCCTCTGTGTCTCTGGGTTACAGGTAGAGTTTAATGAGTTCATCACTGACAGCTGAAGGAGTCAGCACACCGAGGTCTGTGAAGAGCAGGGTGATCAGAGATGGGGAGGTGTAGTCAATCCAGGGGTGCTCCTCTTTTAGGTCCTGACTTGTTTTCAGAGTGTCTGCTTTGTACTGGAAGGAAACAGAGACCTTTGGTTACTGCACAACTGCAAATTAAATCCTCTTTTGGGCAAGAGCAGTGCCACAGCCTCAAGCAGATGTTTGTGGTGAAACTGAAGGAAGTCAAGTGCACACACTGGAGCCACCTTGGCCTCAGCTCTTTTCTCTTGTGTAAAAAGTACAATTTGTAGTTCTGGAGTTTGGTTTAACAGTTCCTTACCCTGAGCTGCTCCTGTGCCCTAAAGGAACTGCTTTAGGAACACAGTACCAGTATCAGGACAAATTATGGCTGTTTGGTGCCTCTACCCTGGAGCAACCCCAGAATATACCACAGCAGAGAGATCCAGATAATCAGAGATGCTTAGAAGACAATTTTTCACAGGCACATCAGTGAATGAGATGGAAGTTGAGTTTCCCTTACCTTAAACCTGTCTGGGACGTCCTGCTGATTGAGAGGGAAGAGTCTGACAAACTTGAAACTTTCTGCTACCACATAAAATGGCTTATTTTGGGCTTTGGCACACACAGCAATTTGATTGGTGCCAATCTGTGGGGACAGATGGAAAACAACATTGCAGACTCAGTGCTTGCCTGAAAATATTGCCCAGCTTCCAACAATTAACAGACATTTACTGGATAAAATCCACATGGAAGAGGCTTTTCAAAAAGCTTTAAATGCTTCAGAGAAACCAAACTTTAAAAGTCCAGAGTGTACAGAATGATGTAAGAAACTCACATTACCTTGTTGATAATGCCTCCACTTTCAACTACACCTTCAGCACCAACTAACACCAGGTCCACTTTCTCCATAATGTAGCTGTTAAAAGGGGAGAAAAAAATCCAAGCATTACTGGGTAATAGGACAAATGACTTGCTGAACAGAACAGAAATGGGTAATTCAAACAATCTTTCCATTTTCTGCACTAATTCCAGCTACCTCATGTAAGTCCACATGCTGCTACACCTCCTTGGAGTCAGATTTCATCTCCTTCCCTGCAGGAATATTAAGCAGCCTTTTCTTCCCCAGCCACAGCTGACCCTATGTGTGTAAATGCTGGAAGCTGAACTCTAACTAGGAATGTTCAGATTTGTTGTAGTTGTTTCTTTTCTCATGTATTGGGCTTGTGCTAAGCAGTGCTAATTTAGCAAACACCTTAAGAAAACACAAAATGATCACACTTATGGAAATCGGGAAAAAAAAGTGGCTTCTTTGTTTAGCACCTCAGTTCTTTTTACAGATCTGTACACCTTCTTAGGTCTGGTTCTTTCTTTCATTCCAACATGCAAAATCAAATGCTTGTGTTGTAGCTGACACATTCTAATTGTGCACCTAAAGCTGGAACTCGTTTGGCCTGTTGGATGGCTTTGACAAACTAAGTAATATCTCTGGGGTTTGAACAAGCTGCTCACTTGAAAGGTGATTTTTGTCTTACTGTCAAAATGAAATTGTGATGAAAAATACCAAAATTTATCATCAGGCTCACCCAACTGCAGCATCCAGAATCACAGTCACGGGAATGTTCAGCTTCCTCAGGGCTTTTGCCATTTTTTGCCTATAAATAAAACATTTGGACCTTAACAATTATTTTTTTAAAGACAAAAATGGGAAAATATTGTCTGAAAGACTGAAGCCTATGACTGCCCCCATTCCCTTGCTAGTAGAACAGAAAATGAGGTATTGTATAGAAATGGAAGGAATTGTTACATGTTAATGACATGTATTACCCAGTGTGCAGGGTTAACTCCTTCATTTACAGAACAATATCTAGTCTGAAGGAATTATTTGGCATTTTTAAATGACGTTGTTAGCTGTATATTTTACTTTGCTATGCTTAGCATAATACTGATTATTTTAGCCTACTTTTTAAAGAAACAATTATAAAGCACTTGTCTCCCATTTCCCAAGGGAAAAGTAGGTTGCCTGGTACTGACCAAAAGTCTGTGAACCTTTGAGTAAAATCTACATAACACTAATTAGGATGTCAAGTACGGAAAGTTAATTACCAACATTTTTTAGATTTATTTTTTCATTTGTCCAGAATAATGAGATATGAGCGACACTTGCCATTTAAAATGCCCCAACCAAGCCTAGCAGCTTTTCTTAGGGCAGGACAAGTTGGATGGTCGCTGTAACTTACCCTGTTAACCAAGATAAACCCCAAATTACTGAATGCTCACCCTGCTTCATCTGGCTGTGACTCAGTAACATAAACACTGAATCGCTTCTTGGCCTCCACGGCTGCTTCCAGCACCCTGAGGACCACCCTGGAGTAGGCATGTGTCAGTATTCGCTGCCAGGACAAAAAAAATCACATATTACATTTGCTGAGCCTCGGGAAACCTTGACTTTTGTGCTGGCTTGGTGTGCAGAACAAGGTTGTGCAGAAGCCCCCGTCAGACTCCTCTGCCCTCCTGTTCTGCCACAGCAGAACCCAACTCTGCCCCGGCCTACTCACAGCACCGTCTCTGATGAACGGGTGACACAGCTTGGCGATTTTATTCCTCGACAGAGACACTTTGGTCAGGAAGATCTCCCCGCGCTCGATCATGATTTCTTTGCACTTGGAGTAGTCCTGGCAAAGAGCGGGAGGCGGGCTGAGCGGCCGCGGGCTCCCGCAGCCGCCGCAGCGGGGCCGGCCGGGCGGCCCTTACCGAGTACTCCAGCGAGGTGAGGCTGATGAAGCGCAGGAAGAGCTCCCCGCCAGAGGACACGGCCACCGAGGAGTCCACCCGCGACAGGGTGTCGATGGCGTCCCGCAGGCTGTTCCGCAGGCCCTGGATGGTCTCTCCTGAGGGGAGGCAGACACGCGTGCTCAGGGGCTCGCCCCGGGGACGGCCGGGGCTCCGCGCCCCGCCGGGGGCACCCGCGCCCACCTCGGTCCTGCTTGAGGAATCCCAGCAGCGCTCGGATGGCGGCCACGGCCGAGGCGACATCGGGGTCGTCCCTCAGCTGCGCCCTGAACGTCTCGATCAAGTCTGAAAGGCAACGGGGAGCGTCAGGCCCTGCCCTGCCCTGCCCTGCCCGGCCCGGCGGCTCCCGGGGCTGCCCCGCGCCCCCGTTACCGTCCGTGCCCATCGCCGCCCCCGTTACCGTCCGTGCTCATCTCCGCCGCGCTCCGCCCGCCGCGCCGGGGCGTGGGGAGGCCCGGCCGGGGCGTGCCCGGATGCGGAGCGCCGGCCCGGGCGTCATCCGCGGGCGCCGCAGCCGCTGCAGCCCGGCCGGAGCGATGAGCGCGGGTGAGCGCTGCCGGGCCGGCCCGGAGGGGGCTGCGGGTGCTCCGGACGGGTCTGGGGGTGCCGCGGCGGGGCTGGGGCCGCTCCGGGGGAAGCGGAGGCCGGGAGCGGGGCCCCGGGGCCCGCAGTGACGCTGCCGTGCGCTCCCTTTGCAGATGATGAGCTGAGCCTGCTGATCATCGTCCTCGACACCAACCCCATCTGGTGGGGGAAGAGGGCGCTGGGAGAGGCTGAGGTACGGCCTTTGGGCGCTGGCACTGCTGATGGCCATTTCTGGGGGAAACCGTATCATTTTCTTCGATTTCTGAACTGTGCTAATGTTGTCTGCTAAAGCAGGTATAATGGGTATTGTAATACCATTTGAAATAGCTATGCAGTGTTCTGTATTCATTAGAGCTTTTTTACCAGCAAAACCTCTTTCTGCATCTTTAAATGTAGGTTTTTAAACTGCAGTAATTTCAGAGATTACTTCTGAATTGCTTCTCTGTAAATGTTACTGTGCTACATCTGCTCTGTTCTTTTTTCCAGCAGTTCACCCTGTCGAAATGCATCGATGCAGTGATGGTGCTGGGGAACTCCCACCTGCTCATGAATCGCACCAACAAACTCGCTGTAATAGCAAGTCACACTCAGGAAAGGTAGAGCTGCTTCTGAACAGTGTGAAGGTTCCCAGTTTCCTAGATCTGTCTCCTGATTTTCTTCCTTGATGGCGAGAATCCAAGTTAAAAGTGTATAATATATCGTCCTAAAAAAATTAGCTGAAACTATATAGGAAAGAACTGTAATGAGTTGCAATGCACCAAAAAGAAGACAGAAGGGAGATTTAAATAGACTTAAAAATGCTCAGATAGAGAATGGTAGATATGTGTGGAGTGGAGCAATGCAAATGGCAGAAGTTCCCTGTTTAGGGGATATTTTTACCCCCAGATGTTTGTGAATCTCAGGATCTACCCCCAAGTGCAGCCAAAGAACTTTGCCAGATCTCTTAATAGATATCTCCAAAGGAGGGAGCTGAACGTGGGTTTTACTCCAGTTTAAGGTCACCGACCTTACACAGCCTCATTAATGCCTCAAGCATTAAAAGGATTTTAAATTAAATTTCAGAGTATTGTTATTTGCAGCTGATTCATTCATAGCATTTTTTCGTACATGAATGCTTTGTTTCCCCTCTGTTTCAGCCGTTTCCTGTACCCTGGGAAGCGTTGGGCTGCTGCAGATCCCTTTGGAGAGGGAGGCCCTTCCATGGAATCTAACTGCTCTGGCAGCAAGGATGGAAAATATGAATTATTAACAGCAATAAATGATGCAATTGCAGAAGAGATTAAAGACCTCATGACAAAGAGTAAGGAGAAGAAAATTCTAGGCTTAATATGCAGAATTGCAAAACACTTGGACTGTTGCAGAAATGTCCTCTATTTTCACCATATACATTTTAATATGCTTAAAGTAGATGAGTTTATTATGTTTGACAGTTCATCCCTCTGCATTGGTATTATTTGCCAAAGATAAAAATGTGTAGTATTTGGTATTGTTAGGTTCAGTAGCTGCTTTTATATATAAAAGTCACTTTTGCACTTTTTCTTGTGTTGCAGCTGACATGAAGGGCCAGCAAACAGAAACCCTGTTAGCAGGATCACTTGCTAAAGCACTTTGTTGTATCCTTTTGATTACAGAATCTTCAAAGCCTTTATGTGTTCTCACGACTGTTTCTTATAATACTAACTTTCCCTATTCTTGTTTTGTTATAATACTTAAACCTGAAACATTTGCCTGATGGCTGTGGCTTGTGCTTATCAGAATGTGTATTGGCCAAGGTGGTGAATGTGTGGTGTGGACCATGGAGTTATTTCCAAGAAGGGAATGTAGATTCCTTAATTGCAGCTAATGTAGACATCAACAAGATGGGCAAAGACCTAAAAGGTATCACCTCTTTTCCTGTTTTCAACACTGAGTAAATATTTTAACCTGAATAACAGGTATAAATACACATGCACACACAAACAAATATACATGTTTGAACACACCCCCATTTCCAAAATTTGCACTAACAGGTAGAGATTTATTTTGATCATTTGAAGTTGCCTGAATTAAAAATGTTGAGGGACTTGATCAATGGTCCACGTCCTTAGGGAGATTTTCTGTTGTGTGGGAATAAGCTGTAACTGGAATTTCTGTGGAATAACTGGAGATTGAGAGGAATTAGTGCATATATAATTGTCACTGGGACTGGAAATAGTTTCATATAGATATTCTATCTGACATGTTAGATCTAACATCCAGTATATTCTGAGGTGTCATATGCTACAGAATTAAAGGGGTGCTGATTAAACAAGGTGCTGATGCATTTCTCTTTCTTTTTAATACTTAGCCAATCAAGAAATTAAATCAAGGATTCTGGTAAGAACTTTTGCTGTCACAGTTTTCTTTTAGTCTTGAAATCCAGTGATATATGTAGGCTAACAAGTCTGAGTTTGTATTTAGGTCATAAAAGCTGCAGAAGACAGCGCATTGCAATACATGAATTTCATGAATGTGATCTTCGCAGCACAGAAACAGGTGAAGCTGGCCTTTTTTCCATTTATATTGTCTTTTATTTCTGTGTAAAGATAACACAAATGTTAATTTCTCTCATACTTACATAATTTATAGTGCATTTATCATGGAAACAAGTCATGACAGTAACACTGACAGAGCTGTGTGGGTTTTGGCTAAATTTGTTTTTTGTGCGTGCCGTCTCTTGCAGAGTATTTTGATTGATGCCTGTGTCTTGGACTCTGATTCAGGTCTTCTACAACAGGTACAGACTTGCTGTTCTTTGCCATTTATTTTAACTCATAAATTCTTGATGTTAAACAATTCAACACATTTTTCAGCTCTTTCCTTTAATCAAGAGTGGGTGTGGAAATACGTTCAGTGGATCTGACAGTTCTGCCATGCAGGCCTTGTGCAGTGCATGGATATTCTGAATGCCCTGTTAATGTCATCAAACAACAATCTGATCACGGTCTCTGCTTTGCAGGCCTGTGATATCACGGGTGGCATATATTTGAAAGTGCCCCACATGCCATCCCTTCTGCAGTATCTGTTGGTAAGTCACTTAAAAAACACTTCAGTGTTTTTTGTGTGTTAGATATTAAATATTCACTTCACTGCCCGGATAATACAGGAATACCAATCCAATTAACAAAATACTTCTCTCTGTCCCTGCAGTGGGTTTTTCTCCCTGATCAAGAGCAGAGATCCCAGCTCGTCCTTCCACCTCCTGTTCATGTTGACTACAGAGCTGCCTGCTTCTGTCATCGCAACCTCATTGAAATTGGCTACGTCTGCTCCGTGTGCTTGTCAAGTAAGCTTATAAATATTTAACAGCCTGATTTCTTACATTCCAATGACCTGTTTTAGTGAAAGCCAATTCTTTGATTTTTTCAGTATTCTGCAACTTCAGTCCTATCTGCAGTACCTGCGAGTAAGTGTTTACTCTTTTTGTTTCAAGGGTGGGTGTGGGAATATGTTCAGTGTATCTGACAGTTGCTTTTCCATATTTTTTTCCAGGACTGCTTTCAAAATATCATTGCCACCTGTCATGAAAGCGAAGAAGAAGAAATTAAAGGTAGCTGCATAGCAACATTATGTAAATACATCATTACCTCCTCCAGAATTCCATGAAATGGAGCCTACATGAGAAACTGATGGCACTTTTTATTGGTTATGAAAGAGAACTGTATGCAGTGCTATTACTTGTTTCTTAGGGGATAAATATTTAAAATGTATGTTTTCTCTGCAGCCTGTTAAGTAACAAATCACTGTATTACCATGTAATCTGTGCTGTTTTAAATACTAATTCTTCGCTGTAAGAGGAACCAGAAGTTGCATCCTGGTAAAGAGACACAGCCTGTGAATTTGAGGGTATTTTGTCCACTGCAAAGTTTCACGCCTCTGAGTTATTTTCAAAGTCAAGAAAGCTTTGATTCTTTCTGTATGTTGGTGTGAAGTTAAGAATGACCATTTCTAGTGTGTAGGATCAGAATCATAGCACTGTGTTGTTCAGAGACTTCAGCTTCTTACTAGCAATATGAGCCATCATTTTCAAGATGGTTTGTGAGCCACTTGAAAAAAAAAAGGTGCTAATTGCCCTGCCTGTGCACTCACATGTATTCATATTCCTGTGACTGTACTGTCCTTGTGGTATTTCTTTCTCAATTTGATATCTCTTAATTTGTGAATGAAAAGGCCTCCCTTAGTTTAAAATAGCATCAGTAAGTGCAGACTAGCTGGTTAGTCTTCAAGGTTTTATTTTGAAACTGGAAAACAAGAAATGTACTTGTGATCTGATAACAGGCACAATTCTTATTTTTAGTATATGGGTTTCCATCTGACACGTGACAAGAATAAAGACTTTTGAATTGGTGTCTTTCATGGCAGGAAGGTCTGCTGTGTACTTTGAACGTGGCTTTAATTTAAAGAAACAGTTTTCTTTTTCTCCTTCTAAAGAGAACCATATAATTTGGTAGTTTAACCTTTCTCCTGAAAGGAATAGAGAGGAATTTCTTTCCACATAGAAAACGAGTTATTTTTTCCTTCCCAATGTGTATACGGGAATTTGTCAGGTCTTGATTTTCACATCAAGTTTTGTCACTCTTAACAGCTGCAGTGCCAGTTTTTTCTGGGCTTGCCAACTTAACAAGGCGAGCTTTTTGTCATTGACAAAAGCCATTTTGTGTGAAGGCTGTATTTATAATTTACATTGTATAAAACTTTTGTAATAAAGACTGTCTCTTTTTCAAACGTGGTCAGTTATTGCTTTGATATTTAAGGGAGAGCTACATGATTTTCCTGGAGTTTTGTTGTTTGAGTCATATTAGTAAACAAACGGATTCGTATTTATTTCCTACAAGTTACATACTTCTCTTCTTAATTAGTAC